ACCAGTCACCATTGATGGAGTTGATGTGGAGGTGGTTGGGACCTACAAGTATCTGGACTGGAGCTGTAACACTTACCCTGTGTCTGGAGCCTATACCATCCTACCAGTCTGTTGTAGCGAGTGCTGTATTCTATGCTGTTGTGTTCTGGGGCAGCAGCATTAACAAAAGAGCTCTGAACAAATTAAACAAACTGATTCGGAAGGCTGCCTCTACTGTAGGAGTAGAGCTGGACTCTCTGGAGGTTGTGGCAGAACATAGGATGCTCACCAAGCTGTTAGCCATCTTGGACAACACCTCACACCCCCTGCGTGCTACACTGGATAAACAGAGAAGCACATTCAGTGGCAGGTTGCTACAGCTGTGCTGTGTAAGATCTTTTTTACCCACTGCTATACAGCTCTACAATGAGACTCCTTACTGCAGAGACGGTACTGATCTTCTGGTGTCTGAACTGTGCTGAACCACATCACTATATCTCCTCTCTTGTTAATACACACGGTGCAATATATCATAACTGCTACTGTAATGACACTCTCACTATGCACTTCAGACTGTAAACACTGCTGATATTCCTCATATCACAGAGCAATACCTGCTCTCATGTAAATACAACACATCTGTCTTATATGCTATGTAAATATGCAAATAGATAAAAACTTTCATTCCTAGTCTCTCATAGTGTACTGTAATTTATGTCTATGTTTCTATTTCTGCCTTCAATAAATGAAGTGTTCTGTCTGCGTCAATGATATATATATATATATATATCATTGTTGTTGGAACAAAACCTCATATCTCCAAAATGGTATGGTAACTTGACATTTCTATTATAGCAGCTGTATGCAGCTGTATGCAAATATTCTGCCTTGTACTACATATTTAAGCAGGTGGAGGTGGAGACCAGCAGCTTTTACTCACTTTCACCATGTTCTCTCCATCTCTACTGCTGCTGCTGCTGACCACTGTGACCTGTGAGTGTCTTTCAATTTGCTATAAAATGACTTTTAGGTACTTTAATATATTAACATTATTTGTTTAACAGGTGTTCACAGTGTTGAGCTGACCCAGCCTGGATCCGTGGTCATAACTCCAGGTCAGTCGATGTCACTGACCTGTAAAGTTTCTGGATATTCGCTGACTGATAGCAGCTACTGTTCACACTGGATACGGCAGCCTGCAGGAAAAGCTCTGGAGTGGATTGGGTGGATTTGTAGTGATGGTGGCACTGACTACAGTGATAAACTGAAAAGCAGGTTTGAAATTACTATGGACACGTCCAGCAACACAGTGACCTTAAGAGGACAGAATCTGCAGACTGGAGACACAGCTGTGTATTACTGCGCTCGTCAGTACCACAGTGAAACACATCAACAGACACCCTGTACAATAACAGCTCTCTGTTAGAAAACACTGCCTCAGTTAGAGCCTTTTAAAGTGATGCTACAGTCAGTACCTCATCAAACCTGTAGGGGGCAGTCTTCACTAACAAATAAAACTGAGTTTGGAGTTGTCACAGGCTGTCCTCATCAGTAATGTGCTGTATAGGGGAGAATTATTTAGTTTAGTGAATAGCCAATGAAAACACCTGAAACATGACATTCATTTGGACACATTTGCATCATCAGCCTGTGTCAGTATTCGCCAGTCGCAGAAACAAACTAGCATTACTCCTTACAAGGCTTCTTATATTCCTGGGTACATATTTAATTCTTGGTGTTGTTGCTGCATCATGAGCAGCTTTCCAGTCGTTGGGCCTCATTTACCAACATTCTCAAAACTTTTCTCAGAATTTCTTTTTTAAAACCCATTCATGCAGTTTTCACACAGATTCTGACATTCACTGATGTTTCCTTATTTGGGATTTGTTCTTAGGTACACTCTTTAAAAAGATAGTTCTTCAAAGGTTTTTGAGTAAAGGGAATAGCTCTAAATAGAACCATGGACACTCAAAGAACCCTTTGCATCATGAAAGAGTTCTTTATATTGATGGAAAATGTGCATGAATGTGCTGTAGGTGGTTCTATATAGCACCCAAAAGGACTTGTCCATTGTTATAAGCGTACCACCATAACAATTGGTGCTATATAGAACCATTTTCAAAAAGGTGCTATATAGAACCATCTACATTGTCCATCAGTCTGACAAACCCTTTTATGATGCAAAGAACCCTGTAATCATGCAAATGACTGTTTGAATGTTCATGGTTCTCATTCTTTACTAAAGAACCCTTGAAGAACCAATTTTTTTAACAGTTTACGAACAGAATCAACACACACTCAAGAGAAGAAAGAAGTGAAAAATTCTGTAGTTTAAGAAAATGACATGAATCTGGCGCAGAGATAGATAGATAGATAGATAGATAGATAGATAGATAGATAGATTACAGTGTAAAGTGCATAGTGAAAGTGTCATTACAGTAATTGTTGTGACATATTGCACAGTGTGTATTAATCGAAGAGGAGACACATTGATGTGGTTTAGCACAGTTCAGACAGCAGGAGATCAGTACTGTCTCTGCAGTAAGGAGGCTCATTGTAGAGCCGTATATCAGTAGGTAAGAAAGATCTCACATGGCTCTTTAACACAGCACAGCTGTAACAGTCTGACACTGAATGTGCTTCTCTGTTTATTGACTGTCGCATGCAGAGGGTGTGAGGTGTTGTCCAAGATGGCTAACAGCTTGTTGAGCATCCTCTGTTCTGCCACAGCTTCCAAAGAGTCCAGCTTGACTCCTACAACAGAGCCAGCCTTCCTAATAAGTTTGTTCATTTTGTTCAGAGCACTTTTGTTAATGCTGCTGCCCCAGAACACAACAGCATAGCATTAAGAGTAAATTTAAGGAAAATCATGGGAAGATACTGGTGAACAAGGCCCTTTGTTTGTTTAACTCTACAGAGCTGCTGCTTCTGTAGTGTTTTTCCTGAAAGTCAAGAGAGTTTTCAATATCTGATGTTTCTCCGTCCATTCAAAGTGTCAAGAGAGCTGTTTGTAGCTGTTGTAGCTGATGTAGTGATCTACAGTCTTCACTAGACACTCTGAGTGCATACGAGTGGAATCAAAGGGAGTGCCCTCAAAGTCAAACTGGAATTCTTTTTTACGATTCAGCTAGGGGGAAACACAGATCCTATACGCATACAAATGGACATGGCAATGAATTATTTGCTTATTAAATTAAGCTTGACTGGAATGATTGTTTTATGCTGATATTTGTACCATTTTCACGGCCTGTAATTTTGAGCTGAAACCGTGAAGCTGATACAGGCATAGTGTGTTTGTACTGATCAGACATTCTCATACAGCGATTACTTAAAATGATTTTTTTCCCTATAGTTATGACTGGAATATTCAGAAAACTGAAATCTAACTGCCACAAATGATGTCACAGTTGACACCTCAAACACTGTCACAGACATTACACCTTGACTCACACCTTAAACCTTAGGAACCACCTAAAAATCAATAGCAACTGCCTATCAACACCATAGTAACTGCCTGAAATATTATAGCAACCACCTAGCAACACCCTAGAAACCACATAGGGTACCATTATTTGTATCTAGCAACACCCTAGCAGCCACCTGGAACACCATTTCAACCACCTTGCAACTGCTTGAGCTTTCAATAGTCAACAGCTGTTTTCAACTGCTTTAACATTTCAAGCTTTGTCAACCCAATTTAAAGTTGATCAACATCTGGAACGTTTGGCCTGATTGTGAGATGTGCGCTTGCATACCACTTTTTCTTTGGATGCACAGGTTCTGCATAGCAACTGTTTAATTTAAATGACATTTTTTCCCATAGGAATTCTCAACATTTAAAACTGTATTATTTGTACCTCTCATTCTACCACAAACATTGTAAAGTATGTGGCCAAAAGTTTGTATTCTCTTCTCATGTCATGTGCTTTAGCAACACTCTAGCAACCAAATGGACTACTGTAACAAACACATAGCAATAGCCTAGCAACTACCTGGAACACAATAGCAACCACGCTGCAACACCCTACCAACCACCTGAAATACAACAGCATCCACACAGCAGCAACCTGGCCACCACCTGGAACAACATAGTAACCACCTAACAATACCCTGGCAATCAATGGTAAACCATTGTAACCCCCCATCATACCCTAGCAACTACTACTAGGGCCGTAGCAACTTACTTAACTTACTTACTTAAGTACCTAGTATTCACCTGGAACACTACAGTAACAACACAACACCTAAATAAAAGTCAGAAAAATCAGGTTTTTTTAGACTTTCTTAGACAAAGGATGAACTAAATTAAACAAAACAAGTAACATACCTTCTAAAAATATCCAAGTGCAGTTTATTCGTTTAAAAACTTTTAAAAACGTAAAAAAGATTAAAAAACTTTGCTCTTAATATAGAGTCTTCTAAAAGGCTCTAGGCTTGGATTCATGGTTCTACAAAAATCTTATAACTGGCGTAGAGCCTTTACGTTATGTGGAAGCTGTTTACATTTAGAAAATGTTCTTCACACTCATATAGCTCATTTCTTTAAAGAACATTCCATTGATAGGTTCTTTCTTTCAAATATGTTTTTTTTTTTCTGTGATGTTGTTCCTAAGAGTTTTTAGTGTCCAGTTTCAACATGACTATTAATCTGATTTAATGTGAGCACACACTCAATATATACTCTACGGAAGTCGGGAGAGGCCATGAGGTAGTTATAATTGTTATCTTGAGATAATGGGTTAAGTATCTTGTGATGAGTTAGCTGTCTCGTGATCTCAAGATAAAAGTTGTTATCTTGAGATCACGAGATAGTTAACTCATCTAATACATCGTAGCCAAGGTGTGACGTTTAAAAGAGATCATGCAAAGTTACACATTGATGAATCCATGTGATGAAGACTGTTTAAGTGTCTGCATTATGATGGGAGCAGCCTTATACAAATGTTCACTCCACTAATACATATTTAAGCAGGTGGACGTGAAGACCAGCAGCTGTCACTGGTTCAGCCTTAACACGCACCATGTTCTCTACATCTCTGCTGCTGCTGCTGCTGCTGACCTCTGTGACCCGTGAGTGTTCATTTTGCTATAAAGTCATCACTGGGTTCTTTGACCTTTTCTTTAAATATATGAAAACAACATTTCAACAGGTGTTCACTGTGTTGAGCTGACCCAGCCTGGATCCATAGTCATAAATCCTGGTCAGTCGATGACACTGACCTGTCAAGTTTCTGGATATTTGTTTACTGATGGGAACTACTGTACAGCCTGGATACGGCAGCCCGCAGGAGAAACTCTGGAGTGGATCGGAAGGATTTGTAATGTTGGTGACACTGACTATAATGATAAACTGAAAAGCAGGTTTGAACTTACTAGGGACACGTCCAGCAGCACAGTGACCTTAAGAGGGCAGAATCTGCAGACTGAAGACACAGCTGTGTATTACTGTGCACGACAAAGGACACAGTGAGACACATTAACAGAAACCCTGTACAAAAACATCCCCTCTGGAATGGATCTCCACTGTAAGGGTTCAATATGAAACAGTTGAAGATTTAAAATCATCCTAGGGGGCGCTCACAATGTCTAGTGTGCCTCAGTATAAGAAGAAACAATTGGCATAAAACCATTTATGCATTCATACTGTTATTCCTACTAACTGTTTCATGAAAGTAGCATTAAGCGCTCAGCTTAATCGACTACTCAGTCTCATATTTTAAAGCAACACACTACACAATTCTATAAATGAGCAAACAAAAGCTAAGCTAGATAGCAAGCTAACTCATAAAAAAAACTTTTTTTTTCGCAGATAAATGGCCTTAAATATGTATGAATTTATAATGAAGAAGATTACAAGATGTGGGAAAACATATGAATGCCATATTGTTGCAATAACTGATGAAGCGTGTTGTGACGATCCTAAAGAAGGGACACATAAGCATTTAGAAAAAATGTGCAATGTTTTTTTTTATTGGCTCACTCACATTTACAATACTGGCTATGGCACTCAATGAATGGAGAATTGGCTCCCTCAGCTAAACAGCATAGGGTTGATGAACTCACTTATACTAGAACTTAAATAAAGTTTGCCCAGAAGCCATTGCGACCTGACACATTTCCCTCTTCAATCCTGAAAATAATGGTGGGCAAAGCTGTTTATTTGCCATTGCAAAAAACACTTTAAAATACTTTAAAATACCTCAAAACCATAACGTTCAATCAATTGGGCTTCAGGTTGCAAACCTTTATACCTTTAAATCTTTATACATGAATTCATCACTTTCCACTGCTAGCTGGGTAGTTAGCATGAAGGCTAAAGGCTACACAGCTAACACCTACAACAAAGTTACGACACCACGGTTCTACAGTGTGTAGCCAGATAAAGTAATTACTCACAAATGTCATGAAACTTATGTTCAAACTTCGCCAAAACACAAACAAACAAAAACTTATTGCAGTGCAAATTTCACATTCGTATTTGATTAAGTGGGAGTCATCATAATAGGGAAAACATTACAGTAGTGATAGTGTCTATGAATGAGAATTAATAAGACTCACTTATTTTTACATCTTTGTTAAAGTAGTTACTTAAGTTCTCAACCATATCATTTTATATAGGGGAGTGTGGGGAGCAACCTAACGCGGGGTGCAATTTAACACACACTTTTTATGTTGTTCAAGAATGTCAAGCACCGTGAGCTTCTGGCCACATTAATACATTTCCTAGCCATGAACTCCCACCAAAATTCAGAGCCATTCATCAGTGTTTTAAACAGATCTGTGCCAAAGAATGTTTTCAGGGCATGTAAGTCATTTTTCAACAGTTTAACTCAACAATGCTGTTTTTCAGTATAAGTTCTTAATCTAATATATTGCATCTGTAGTGTTTAATATTATTGTTGTCACATCTGTATTTGTATTAGAGCAGCTGTATGCAAATATTCTGTCTTATACTACATATTTAAGAAGGAGGAGGTGAAGACCAACAGCCTTGACTCCCTTTCACCATGTTCTCTCCATCTCTACTGCTGCTGCTGCTGCTGGCCACTGTGACCTGTGAGTGTAATTTTCCATAAAATAACTTTTAGGTACTTTAATATATTAACAACATTTGTTTAACAGGTGTTCACAGTGTTGAGCTGACCCAGCCTGGATCCATGGTCGTAAATCCTGGTCAGTCGATGTCACTGACCTGTAAAGTTTCTGGATATTCACTGACTGATACCAGCTAATGTTCACACTGGATACGGCAGCCTGCAGGAAAAGCTCTGGAGTGGATTGGGTATATCTGTGGTGGTGGTAGCACTGGCTACAGTGATAAACTCAAAAGCAGGTTTGAAATTACTAGAGACACGTCCAGCAGCACAGTGACCTTAAGAGGACAGAATCTGCAGACTGGAGACACAGCTGTGTATTACTGCGCTCGTCAGTACCACAGTGAAACACATCAACAGACACCCTGTACAAAAACAGCTCTCTGTTAGAAAACACTGCCTCAGTTAGAGCCTTTTAAAGTGAAGCTGCAGTCAGTACCTCATAGAACTTGTAGGGGGCAGTCTTCACTAACAAATAAAAGTTTGATCCGGTCTGAACTGTAGGTGGCAGTTGTCACAGGCTGTCACAGGCTGTCCTCATTAGCACCCTTATATAGCACCCTAAAGGGCTCATCCATTGGGCTTCAGGTTGCAAAATTTCCATCCTTATACATGATTTCATCACTTTCCTCTGCTAGCTGGGTAGTTAGTATGCTAAAGGCTACCCAGCTAATACCTACAACAAAGGTACGGCACCACGGTTCTACAGTGTTTAGCCAGATAAAGTAATTACTCACAAATGTCATGAAACTTGTGTTCAAACTTCGCACAAACAAACAAACAAGCAAAAAAAATCATGTTGAACTGCAAACCTCTCCATCTAGTCAATTAGCTCGCTGTGGCTAACCTGAAGTGGGTTAGCGCACTCTTTGAATAATCCTCAGGGTCCACTCCTCCCCATCTGCCACGAGTGGCCGCTTGTGTAATGTATGTGTGATGACATCTGAATGGTGAGTTGAAGTGGACAAGGCCAGAAAGTCACCACAGAGGACCCTTTTTACACTTTTGTATTTGATTATGTGATTTGATTATTAAGTCATCATATTAGGGAAAACATTACAGTAGTGGTAGTGTTTATGAATGAGAATAAGACTCACTTTTACATCTTTGTTAAAGTAGTTACTTAAGTTCTCAACCATAGTAATAGAATCACTTTATATAGGGGAGTGTGGGCGACAATTTAACACAGACGTTTTATGTTGTTAAAGAAGGTCAAGCAGCGTGAGCTTCTGGCCACATTACCACATTTCCAAGGCATGACCTCCCACCAAAATTCAGAGCGATTCATCAGTGTTTTAAAGAGATCAGGGCATGTATGTCATTTTTTTCAAAAGTTTTCTTTTTTTTTGGTTACTAAGCTGTTAATGTAAATCACAACATCCAGTCTAATATCACCACCTTGTTTCCTACAATGCAGCATGGTTTTGAAGCAGCTGACAAGCTCACAGCAAGTGCTAGATAGGCTCAAGTACAGCCTCTCTGCTGCAGGGTTAGTTGAAACACAGTGTTACAACTAAGCCACCTTTAGTAAACAAAGACAAGTAAAGTCAGTTTTGTCTTTTTGTTCCATATGTTTACACAGATTTTAAAGGAAAACATGAAAACATCTGAAAACAGGGATTTTCTTCTACTTTATTAGTATCTTTCAGATGTTAGTATTTTGGTTTTAAATAAGTATATCAGTGAAACTGACATTAACAGTTATTCAGAAACAGTTTTCCATATTTTACTGAAGTGTGATGTTTTTATTTAACTGTCCTTCACTGGACAAAAACGTGTCATGGTTTGACACACAGTCTCATGTCAGTTTTCATATACAATTTGATGTGTATCTATCAATTGAGCTGTGCGTATTATAAATAGATAATATATAATGCAGTTTGGCTGGGAAATATGTTTGTGTCTTACAACACAGAATTACATTGAATTAACTCTGTTTTGCATTCATTCATCAGACTTTTTTAGCAAGAGTTAAACTGACCCTCTGTCTGTTACAGTGAACCCACCAATGGGGTAAACTGTAATATTGTGCTTCCCATCAATTTTGGTGGAATTGCACATGAACAGCTTGTGGTAGAAACAAAGTTCAAGTGTTTGTTTGGAGCATAGATGTAAATGTTGCATGGTACAAAAATATAATTATTCCAGCTTAAATATTTTTAAAGTTATTCAACAAAAAAACAAAATGTGTTTTTCCCTGCTCTCACCTCTACATCTGCAGCAAAAGTGGTCATATATTAATAAAAACTGTGACTCCAAACTTGTAACAATAGTGTAAATCACTCCCACCATCCAAAAAACATGCAGTCAGGCCAGTTGGACATGCTGAATTGCCCCTAGGTGTGAATGTGTGTGTGATTGTGTATGTATGTCTGTCTGTCTGCCCTGCGATGGACTGGCGACCTGTCCAGGGTGTATTCAGCCTTCCGCCCAATGACAGCTGGGATAGGCTCCAGCACCCCACCGCGACCCAGAAGGATAAGCGGTTTAGATGATGTATGTATGTGTATGTACTAGTGTTTATTTCCCCACAGTGTTCCTGTTTTTTAAACCCACTGCTGATCATGTGTGTAAATGCAAATCTTCTGTCGAGGCCCCTCTTCATAAAAACTACAAATCCCAGCAGAAAGACTGTAGAGAGAAGAACAGCGTTCACTACAAAACATGGTGTTTGCACATATATTACTGCTGCTGCTATTTCCATCATGTGAGCTTTCATATTATGATATATTTGTTTTCATCATCTGTCAGTATTTTTCTGTGTAGTAACTGTAATATTTTCACAGGGATCCACTCTGTTGAGCTAAATCAGCCTGATTTCCTGATGGTTAGTCCAGGTCAAACTCTGACCATCAACTGTGAAGTCTCCTACTCAGTTACCACCTATGCTACAGCTTGGGTTCGACAGCATGCAGGAAAAGCTCTGGAGTGGATCGGGCTCGTTTACGCAGGTGGAGACATTCCTTACAAAGATTCACTGAGGAGCAAGTTCAGCATCTCCAGAGACACGTCCACTAACACAATAACATTAAGAGGACAGAACCTCCAGACTGAGGACACAGCTGTGTATTACTGTGCAAGAGCCTCACACTGACTCTAATCAGGCACCACTATGTACAAAAACATGTTTGCTCAGTGTAACTCAGAGTAATCACTTGCAGTAAAATGTGAACAAAGTAGCAAATGATAAAAAATGGGATTTTGGAATTCTAAGTGAATGTGCTGTGAAGAATTTTAGAACCGGAAGGCATCAAGTTACAATCATGTAGTATTAATAGTTCTGTGGAAGTGAGATTCCTAGAATTTCCTCTTTATCCCAGTCACCATTCTATTCCGTTGGTATCCGGTTTTCAGATTGGAGCATAACTTCGTCCAG